TTAGTTGCTAAAATAATGAAATAAAATATAATATACATAAATTGAATTCTGTTTTTATAAAGTTTCCTAATAGGTAGTAAAACTTTATCCAGTCAATAATTCATTCAAATAAAAAATGAAGTACGACTTGAATTTCTGAGTTGCCTGATAAAGATTATGGGAATTATTAACATTATTTCTTAAAGAAAATTTAAAGATTTGTTAAGGATCAGCTATACAATAGAAATCGGGAATAACTGAAATTCTTAGATTTCATGAAAAAGTCTATAAATATTTATAGATAAACAAAGTCAGAGTCAGCATAGAAATTTCGTATATTTAAGTCTAAGGTTAAGCGAATCAGCTTATATAAGCGAATAACTGCAACAGGCACACGCTTATCAATCGATTGGCAATTGGCTGTTGCATAATTGAATTGCACCTGGAGGACAACGGGCATTTGGCGATGTCATGACCTTTTGACATTTTACATAATGGTCGACGACAACGGTTCAATTGCCGCTTTCACTTTTGCTTCCGACGCATCTCAGTTGGAGCTGGAGTTGGGAGTGCACATTGTTGTTGTTGTTGTGGTCTTATTGTCAACCACTGCATTGGCGCATCTTCAACATGCAGCTTGGGTTTCCATTTTTCCAGTTATGCTGCCTTCTGCGAAAGTCCATTCAAGCCGCACACTTGATCAAATGATACAATGCAGCTGCTGTTGCTGCTGCTGCTGCTGCGGCAACTGTTGCTGCAACTATTGCTGATGCTGCTGCTGCTGCTGCTGTCTATGCGCTAACAACACCAAAAATATTTTGTAATGTACCAAAATGTTATTTATGTGGCCTGTGCTTGCATAAATTGTGGCTGGACATGAAGATTTTCAGGCATGACGATTTTCAGGGTTGTCGCGTCCAAATCTGTTGTTCATTTTATCAAATTTATTGTAGTTAAGACAATTTTAGTAACAAACGAATTTGAATTAAAAATTATTAAGCAATTTGCTTTTAAATAATATAAAATATTAGACATATATAAAAATTTATATATGCATGTGATAA